ACTCAGTCTCTCAGTCTCTCACTCAGTCACTCATTTACTTAGTCATTCACTCACTCATTCATTCATTCACTCACTCACTCATTCACTCAGTCACTCAGTCTCTCATTCTCTCAGTCACTCATTTACTTAGTCATTCACTCACTCGGTCACTCATTCTCTCACTCACTCAGTCACTCATTCACTCACTCAGTCACTCATTTACTTAGTCATTCACTCACTCATTCATTCATTCACTCACTCACTCATTCACTTAGTCACTCACTCACTCAGTCACTTAGTCTCTCATTCTCTCACTCAGTCACTCATTTACTTAGTCATTCACTCACTCACTCATTCACTCAGTCACTCAGTCACTCATTCACTCAGTCACTCACTCATTCAGTCATTAAGTCACTCACTCAGTCACTTAATCACTCACTCACTCATTCAGTCACTCACTTAGTCACTCACTCACTCATACATTCACTCACTCACTCACTCATTCATTCAGTCAGTCACTCACTCACTCAGTCACTCACTCATACATTCACTCAGTCACTCAGTTACTCACTCATTCATTCACTGTCATTCAGTCACTCATCCATTCACTTATTCACTCTCTCACTCACTAATTCACTCATTCATTCACTCATTTACTCATTCATTAATTCACTCACTTATTAATTCACTCATTCACTCACTCATTCTCTCACCCTTATGCGTTCATTTGCGCATTCATACACTCACTCTCTCCCTCTTCTCCTACTTGCTTTTTCCCCCTTTTTTGGGGGGGGGGTCACACCTGGCGATGCACAGGGGTTACTCCTGGCTCTGCACTCAGGAGTTACTCCTGGCTGTGCTCAGGATGCTGGGAATCAAACCCAGGTCGTCCGCATGCAAGGCAAACGCCCTACCCTCTGTGGTTTCTCTCCAGCCCCAAGTCCTACCTGCTTTGAATCGGGTCTTTTGCGAGATGACAGGGACAAAGAAGCAGATTAACCCAGTCCTCAGAGAGCAACTGGAATGTTGGGGAGGAGGAAGATAAATGTGTGGAAAGACAAATTCCCAGCGACACACTGAGCGTTGGTGGGAGGTGGTGGGAGCGCCTCAGAGATGAAGTGACATTTGAAAAGAGGCGTGAGGAGTGGGTCGGAGGAAGTGCAACGTGGTTGGTTCTGGAAAGGCTTTTGAGGCCCAAGGGAGAGCATGTGGACAGGCAGGGAAGCCTGGCAGGGCCCTTACGGGGCTGTGGCCTCCTCCAGGCCAAGAGCTGCTCAGAGCAGGCTGAGCACGGAGCAGCTGGGGGTGGGAGTGGGGTTAGGGGGAGCCAGCACTGTCTCTGGAGGGGTGCAGGGGGCTAGGAGAAGCAGAGAAGAGGGCTGGGGCTGGGGACCGCTACCTCTGTGAGTGGGCTCTAGGGGGGAGGGATGCACCTATTGGCAAGCAGCCCTGGAGGGAGAGGGCGGGCAGGGTCAGTCTGGATGTCGGCCACGGTGATGGAGTTGCCAGCTGGCCGGGGCGGGCGAGGCCGGATGTCTCCACACAGGTGGAAGGGCAGCTCCCTGCTCCGTGGGCACCCGGGGAAGTCGCCGCCCTCCATGTCAGAGATTCCACTGAGGGGGATGAGCGAATCTTCTGGGCGAAGCCCCCGGCCCTGCACTGGGAGAGACCCCAGGCCCACCTCCTGGGTGTGTGCCTCCTGGGAGCACGGAGTGGGGAACAGAAAGAGAGCAATTTCAGGGTTTGAGGCCAGGGTATTCAGACCTCAGGAGTCCCAGAAGCATTTGGGGTGGCCTGAGGATGTGGGAGGGAGTTGGGCATGCCCACCGGTGTCCCTAGCTGGGGCTGGGACCCTCTGCAGCCCCTCAGACTCTCCTCAGGTCTCCAGGCTCTTCCTGGTACGTCCCCAAATGCCAGGACCAGCTTCACTGCTCCCCTGATGCCTCTTTGCGCTCCCCATACTCACTGTGTCCAACATGACACGAGTTCCTCCCTTCCCCTCATGCACTCCTCCTGACCCCAGAGCCAGCCCTCCCACTACCTCTCTCTCCTGCCTCCTTCATCAGGGCCAACTTCTCGCCCTCACCCCCCACAGCCCTCTCCCCTCAGGTCCAGTGATTTCTCAGGAGAGGAGTGGCTGCAGGCCTCAGATGGACACCATAAAACTCAGAGCCAGTGAAGATGGGGGGTAGGGGAGGCAGGGAAGAGTGAGTGAATGAGTAAGTGAGGGAAGGAGGGAGTGAGGGAGTGAGGGAAGAAGGAAGGGAGAGAGTGAGTGAATGAGTGAGTGAGCAAGAGAGAGAATGAGTGAGGGAGTGAGTGAATGAGGGAGTTAGGGAATGAGTGAGTGAGGAGGGAATGAGTGAGGGAGAGAGTGAGGGAGTGAGTGAATGACTGAATGAAGCAAGTCCAGAGGAACGGGAGCCAGAGGAGACTAGCCTTCAGATGCAGTGGAAGGGTGACTGGCTGATGCACCTGGTGGGGAGCACCACTGAGCGGGGCTTGGAGCACGTCAGTCCTCCCCACCCCTTCACACTGTTCAAAGTGTGTTTAGCTTCTTTCCAAGTCCTAGCTAGCATTCCTCTAATTTCAGCCTGTACTCTGGATTTTTTTTGGGGGGTGGGGGGCGCCACACCTGATGGTGCTCAGGGATCACTGCTGGCCTGGCAGGACTTGGAGGACCACAGGAGGTAGTGGGGATCGAACCCAGGTCAGCCACATGCAAGGAAAATGCTTTACCAACTGCACTATCATGCTGGCCCCTATCCCTCTGGGATCTTTGGGTCCATTTTCCGTCCCCAGACTTCCATATCTGTCCCCATCCTCCTGCCCAGAAGAGACTCATTGGTTCTGTATTGACTTTGGGGGGGAGGTATGGGGAGAGGGGAGGGGGGAGGGGGGAGGGAAAGGGTGGAGTGAGGCAATGGTTTGGGCCACACCTGGTGGTGTCAGGGCTCTTTCTGTCTATGTGCTCAGGAGTGACCCCTGGTGGTACTGGGGACCATATGTGGGCCCCTACTGCTGAGCGGGGCGACTCCCCAGTGACAGGGCTGCTGGTGAGAGAGGAAGGGGCGGGGGCCTTGTCACTGGGCAGTCAGATCCACAGCCCATTACATACCATTAGGGACAAGGTAGGGGTGTTAATCATGCCTGGTGGGTGTAGGCAGCTCGGTCAGCCCAGAGGAACTGATAGTCCCACAAGAGAAGCCCCCTCTGTCTTCTTTGCCTTCACTCCCATCTTCCGATACTCTTCAGAGGCACACTGTTTTGTATTTTTGGCTTTTTGGGTTTTTTGAGAGGAGGCTGGTGGTTTGGTGTGGGGCCACACCCGGAAGTACTTAGAGTTATATTTGGCTTTGCACTCAGGAATCACTGTGGGCAGTGCTCAGGGGACCATATGGGAGGCTGGGGACCAAGGTTGGCTGCATGCAAAGAAAACGCCCTCCCCGCTGTATATGGCTATGGTGCAGAGGGACATTCTTCCATCTGCTAGTCTCATAATACTGCTATTTGAGGGTACGGAAAGTGCCAGAATACAGGATACTTTAAAGAGTATTTGCTTGTTGTTGAAGGGAAATACACACTGGTGAAGGAAAGGGTGCTGGAACATTGACTAAAACTCAACCATGAACAACTTTGTAACTGTATCTCACAGTGATTCAATAAATTAAAAAATAAATTAAAAAGCATTTGCAGCAGGCCTGGCAGATGGCTCAGTGCACTTAGCACTGCATGTGGGAAGCCCAGGTTCGACCCTCAGTGCTGCGTAGTGCCCTGAGCACTGCCTGGTGTGACCGCTGGGCACAGAGCCCGGAGCAGCCTCTGAGCAGTGCAAACCAAAATCAAAAACAAAACAAGCAAAATTGCTGAACAATTGAATGAAAGTCTGCAGAGGGAGAACTCTGGAAGTGTGCCCCTAGATACCAAAATATCAGGCACGGAACCAGAGCCTCCCCAGAGGGCAGGGAGACGAAAGAAGGCAAAGAACTTTCCAGGGTTCCATCCTGGACACGCAAAACAAAAACAAACAAAATTGTGGGAGATAATGCCTCCAGGAAGCCACGAGATAGCAAATGCCCCAGCTCTGAGACAGGTGTGGGGTTTGCCAACATCCAAGGTCCCTTTCCATGAGTCTGAAATGGTGCCCTTAGGGGCCTCCAGATCTTCAGGATTTAGAGTCCAGAACTCCAGATCTAGCAATCTGAGACCCTAGAGTCAGGTAGTTTATTTTAATGTAAAATGTAAGAGGCCAGATGGTAAGTATTTTAGACTTTTTTGGTAGGAGGGAATGTTTGGGGGCCCCACTCGGCTATGCTCAGGGGTTACGTCTGGCTCTGTCACTCCTGGTGGTCCTCGGGAGCATGTATGAGATGTCAGGGATCAAACCCAGGTTGGTCAGGTTGGTCACACGCAAGGTGAGTGTCCTACCTGCTGTTTTATAGCTCTGACCCCCAGTATTTTAGACTTTGGTGTGGTTGTGTTCCAATAAATCTTTATCAACAAAAACAGATTAGTAGGCCAAACCTGCAACAAGATTAGAACTGCTGGCCCCCGGGCTCCCGAACACCAACTCAGGAGGATCCTTGCTCAGAAAAAAAAGGGGATAGTGGCAGGGGGAATAGCAGCTAAGTAGAATATCTGTCCTTAGGATGTAGTTTGCTCAAAATTTTGTGCTAAAATTTTAGACAGGTAGGACCCTGACTTTCATTATCTCGTTCCTTCTTGAGGTTCCAGGATTTGGAGGGTCTCCGGGGAGGGCCAGGTGAGCTGGCAACAAGGTCTTAAGACTGGACAAGACAGGTCTTCTCTGGGGGGTGCAAGAGTTTGGATAGCTCCTGGCCATGCTCACGGGGCCATCTGCACTGCTGAGGCTCGAACCCGGATCAAACCCCATGCAAAGAAGTGCCCACCTGCTGTAGATCTCTCCGGCCCAGGACGGGCAGGTCTTTCAGGGAATCGCAGGCCCTTGGGGCCCCTTGGTCGCCGTTCTCATGGCTGTCTTCCCCACCTGTCCCTTGCAGGGTGATGGCCTCGGGCCCCTGGAATGGCACCTTCAATGGCACCTGGGACGGAGATGAGCTGGGCTACAAGTGCCGCTTCAACGAGGACTTCAAGTACGTGCTTCTGCCCATGACCTACGGGCTGGTGTGCGTGCTGGGGCTGGGGCTGAACGCGGTGGCGCTCTACATCTTCCTGTGCCGCCTCAAGACCTGGAACGCCTCCACCACCTACATGTTCCACCTGGCCATATCCGACGCGCTCTACGCGGCCTCGCTGCCGCTGCTGGTCTACTACTACGCGCAGGGCGACCACTGGCCCTTCGGCGTGGCGCTCTGCAAGCTGGTGCGCTTCCTCTTCTACACCAACCTCTACTGCAGCATCCTCTTCCTCACCTGCATCAGCCTGCACCGCTGCCTGGGCATCCTCAGCCCGCTGCGCTCGCTGCGCTGGGGCCGCGCCCACTACGCGCGCTGGGTGGCGGCCGGCGTGTGGGCGCTGGTGCTGGCCTGCCAGGCGCCCGTGCTCTATTTCGTCACCACCCGGGCCCGCGGCAACCGCACCACGTGCCACGACACGTCGGCGCGCGAGCTCTTCGGGGACTTCATGGCCTACAGCTCCGTCATGCTGGGGCTGCTCTTCGCCGCGCCCTTTGCCATCATCCTGGTGTGCTACGTGCTCATGGCACGGCGGCTGCTGAAACCCGCCTACGGGACCAGCGGGGGCCTGCCGCGCGCCAAGCGCAAGTCGGTGCGCACCATCGTGCTGGTGCTCATCGTCTTCACCCTCTGCTTCCTGCCCTTCCACGTCACGCGCACCCTCTACTACTCCTTCCGCTCGCTCGACCTCAACTGCTCCACCCTCAACGCCGTCAACATGGCCTATAAGATCACCCGGCCGCTGGCCAGCGCCAACAGCTGCCTCGATCCCGTGCTCTACTTTCTGGCCGGGCAGAAGCTGGTGCGCTTTGCCAGGGACACCAAGCCGCCCACAGAACCCGGGCTCAACAACCAGAACTTCCAGCGGCTCAAGTCCAGGAGAATGAAGACGCGGAGGGCCACCGAGGCGCTGGCCAACGGTGAGGAGTTCCGGCAGACAGAGTCCACGCCAGCTGGGAGCGAGAGCACCAAGGACATCCGGTTATAGGACCTCACCGTGCACGCCTAGGACAGGGTGGAGGCGGAGGGGTTAGCGTTTGTTGCAGCGGGGTGGTCTCCCCACGTGAGACCATCGGGACTCATGCTTCGGTTTGGTAGGAGCTTAGGATCCCCTCCGTGATCTGGAGAGACCAACAGGCCTCCAGCTGCCCTCCCCCAATCCCATTTATATGTGTGAGCTGGGCAACGCGGCTTTCAGGGAGGCAAAGTTTCAGCCCCCGTGCCCACGTCAAGGTCTGGGGCTGGAGGCCCCGCACAAGTCAGACAGAGACAAGCTGAGAGAGGGCCGGGAGGTCTGGGCCCGAGGCCCCAGGCACAGGGCCCTGCAGCTGCCCAGAGGACCATGGTGAGGAGCAAGGACTGACCCAGAGGAGAACTTTGGGCAGGGCTGGGTGCCCCAATGGGCTCAGCTCTGCAGCGCACCCCAGCCCGAGAGATGAATGTCTGCTTGGCCCTCTGGGCCAGGGCCTGGGACGCTGTCACTTTTACTAAAGATGTTATTCCTGCACCTTCTTGCATGCTGCGTGTTGGTGGGCTGGGTGGCATCTGCCCCCTGCCCCTCCCCCAACCGAGCTGCCTTCCCACTAGCTGCCTCCATGGTGGGCTCACGTCAAGGTGGGTGCAAGTGGAAGCAGGTAGGGTGGCTGGCACCCTGGGGTCCAGGAGCCCGTCCCTGCCCGCCTTTCCTGATAATGAACTGGCTCCTGGGTGACCCAGGCCCACAGCCCAAGGTGCTGGGGGAGGAGGGCTGGAGGGGCAGGGGGTGCAGTGCGGGGTTCAGACTCGGGGCCCGTGCATGCCAGCATGAGCCCTCACCCCAGTCCATTAGCTTCTAGAAGGTTCCGCTCCACTTCCTCTGCTCCTGCCCCTCCCACCTCCTTGGGCCCCTTCTGCGGATCACAATGGGGCATCCTGGGGTGGCTCCTCTTCAAGCCAAGCCCCACAGTTCCCTCAGGTGACAGGTCAGCCCAGACCCTTGTTGGACTGAGATGTGCCCTGGGGTGCTGTTCCCTCCCTGCCGCGGGAGCCCCTCTGAGCCTCCTCACCGTCACCCCCACTCTCCCTGGGTCATTTTTCTGATGCTCCAGCAAACTGCTTAAGTGATCCCCACCCCAGGTCGCAAGGACCCCTCTCCAGGGGACCCTGTGTACAGTGTCACTATGACTTTGGGTGCTCCTGAAATGTGATTGGGTTATTCCCCCACCTTGCCCAAATTCTCGTCCTTTTTTCTTCCTACCCCTCTGCCCTGGGCTGGAGTGATAGCACAGTGGTAGGGCGTTTGCCTTGCGTGCAGCCAGCCCAGCCGAGCCAGGTTCGATTCCTCTGCCCTTCTCGAAGAGACTGGCAAGCTACCGAGAGTATCTCGCCTGCACGGCAAAGCCTGGCAAGCTACCCGTGACGTATTCAATATGCCAAACATTGTAACAATAAGTCTCACGATGGAGACATTACTGGGCCGCTCAAGCAAATCGATGAAAAACGGGAGGACCGTGACTGTGATCGTGACCCCTCTGCCCTGGAAAACCCCAAGACCCCAGAACCCTGTGGCATGGAGTGGCATCATCAGGCCTCCATACCGGCCTCCCAGGACCCCAGTACCTGCTGGTTTTCCAGGACAGGGGGGCAGTTGGCAGGGCTGGTGAGGGTTTAGGGACGAACGCACTAAAGGAGCCAGGGACAGGTCCCATGGGGCCACCTGGCTGAGGTCTGGCCCTCAGACTGCTCGATGCCAGCGCCCGTCTGGCGGGCGAGGCCCCCGGCCCGGCTGCATGTACATTTGCACCGGCGGGAGCAGGATTTTCCACTGCTGGCCCCATTGTCCCGTGAAGACGCAGGGGGACTCGCCAGATCTCAAAATATCTCCTCACTCCCTGGCTCCCTGCCCCCCCTGACTTCACTTCCTGGGGCTGTTGACACCGCGGCCAGTAAAAGGCCACAGCCACCTGACAGGGACCCCAGGGACCGGCAGTCCAGATGTACACTCAGGGCTCGCTGGGGGGGCGGGGGGAGGCTGCTAGGTCACGCGGCAGGTCAACTCAGCCCCTGGACCCACGCCCAGGGCTCTGGCCGCCCCAGGCTCTGCTGCCCGGAGTGCCCGTGGGGAGACTGCACCCGAGCACTTCCTGCCCTGCTGGGTGGAGACAGACAGAGCCTGTGTGAAGTGGGGGTCGGGGGGTGCGGGGCGCGTGCTGAATTCCCACAGATGCTCTGCAATGGCAAGCTGCACAGAGCCCTGGGTGGCAAGCCATCATGCCAGGCTCTATAGAGACAGAGAGCCCCAGGGACACACCCACTCTGACCCCCTGAGGCTGAGAAAGACCCAGAAGCTCCAGAACCCCCGGCTCCCTCCCCAGCTCCTCTGGCCTGGGCCCAGGTCGGGCTTCTGGTGCACACAGCTCTGGGCTCTGCATGTCAGACTTGGGGATGCTCGTCCCAGGAGCTCACCCATGTCCCCAGCATCATGTGGGACCCTCACACCCACCCAGCCTGAGTAACGTGGACATGATCACCCCTGAATGGCAGACTGGGGGGGGGGCACGGAGCCCCTGCCGGGAGTGGTGGGGTCGGCTGCATGTTGGTGAGCCTTGTCCAGGCCCCTCTGAAGCCCACTTCTCCCCCGCTGCCATGCCTTGTGAGTGGGGCTGGAAAGAGAACATCGGGCGGTTCCGGGTGGAGCCCAGAGCCCAGAGGGACATCCGTGGGGTTGGACAGGGTGCTTGATTCTCCCAGCAGCGGCCCCTCCCTAAGGCCCTTCAGGGAATCCTCCACCCGGCAGCACCTCGGCTTCTTCCTTTCTCAGAGGACGCAGCAGCCAGGGTTCAGGGTGCTGGGCGGTGCCACATGGACACATGCAGCACTTGGACCTCACCGCCATCCCGCATGTCTGCATCAGGCTCCGCCCAGGCAGGTTCTGAGCCAGATCCAGCATCAGAGGGAAATGCCTGCCCATGAGCCCAGGGGTCCCTGGCGGCCACGAAGTGCCCAGGGCAGAGGCAGGTGCACAGCCCCTTCCCGCCCTGCCTGGCACTGGACACATGTGCCTGGGCCTATTTGCAGGATCTTGTCCCAGAGCCTGGCTGGGGGGCCGGGAGCGGTGACCCTAGGAAGGGAAGCTGGCACTAAGTGCTCCTGGACACAGGGCACTTCTCCCAGGCTGGCCCCTGGAGGTCCAGCCACATCTGGATGCAGCCAAAGGAGTCTGGAAACCCAGCGCCAGAGGAGAGCCTGAGCTGAACAGGGAAGCCAGTGAAAGGGTGGGTGGCTTGTGCTGTGTGACCTGAGGTCAGCTTCCTGCCATCTCTGGGCCGCCCTCTGGAGCCTGGAGACTCCATTCTGCATTCCAGCCCTCTGGACTTCAGTCAAGGCTTCTGCCCCTTGCATCATCTTCAACAAGGGCACAGCACAGAGTGGCCCCTGTGTGTCCCAGCATGGCCTGGGTTCGGTTTCTGTTTTGTTTTGTTTGGGGATCATACTCAGCGATGCTCAGGGAATCACTCCTGGCAGTGCTCAGGGGACTCTAGGGGATGCCAAGGATCGAACCCGGGTCACCCGCATGCACGCCAAGTGCCCTGCCTGCTGTACTGTGTGTCCAACCCCTGGCCTCTCTGTATGAAGATGAATATGTCACGTGACCAGAGAGTCCCAGCAGCGGCACTGGCCCACACAGCACCTCAGAATGGAACAGGCCAGAGCTGCCGCTTCTGCCTCTTGGGGGTGGACCCTGGATCCCGACCAGGCCGCAGGGCAGGGCTGTGCTCGCCTTCCTGAGGGCTGTGTGCTGGCGGAGGCAGGGTGGGGACAGCGAGGCCTGGAGCCAACCCCTCCTGACCTCCCGGGGGTGCAGTGTCCCACTGGGTGATACTCCTGCCATCTCTGGTCTCTGTTTCCTCCTCGACAGCAGGACCTGGCGCTGTCCCTCCCCGTGTCATGGCTCCCACACAGCCAAGTTGTCCACGCAGCCCTCCCTGGCCAGGAACAATGGGCCAGGCGGGGCCAGTCCCTCCTGGGCCCCAAAGGCAGCTCTCGGGTTCCCAGCCACCACCCTGTACTATTTTAGTCCGTGGAAACAGAGTCAGGAAAGGGTTTTCCAGACCCAACACAATGACTGTCCTGGGCCATTGTCCAGCAGTGACCAGGGGGCCCGCCTGCTCCAAATATCTGTCTGCCCCTGCCCTCTGGGCTCCCCTGGCCCTGGCCTCCACTCCTGACCTCACATCCTGGGGCGCTTCCCCCATCACCACTCCGTGGGAGACATGAGGCATTGGCTTCCGGTTCCCTCCTGGCATCAACCCCAGGAGTGAAGGGCCTGTGCCCTGTCCAGGCTCACAGGTTCAGTCTCTGTCGGCCCTGGGTGGACAACCCAGGAGGAAGCCTGAGGAATGTCAGTGATGTGGTCAGGTTCTGACCCTGGCCCTGACCTTTGACCCCTGGGCTCAGCCCAGGAGTGATCATCATGCCCACTCTCCCCCTCAGAGTCTTGTTTTTCCCAGCTGCAGTGTTGGGCGTGTGAGTTGCACCCTTTCTGGGGAGAGGAGGTGGGAGGTGCGGGGGAGCAGGGTCCTGGCCCACATTTGCAAGCCCAGCTGTGTGTGATCCCCAACTCAGCGTCTCCGTCTGCAACATGGACCCAGCCCCTCACGGACCTGGGTCTTCCCTTCCCTCCCTCCACGCTGCCTGTCCGGTTCCTCTCGCTGATCCCCAAACGGCACACTTGCCAAACACCAAACTTGCCAAACACCAAAACTTTGAGTCACTGCTGGGTAACCAAGTTCATTCCTGTTTAAAATTCAAATCCCCAGGGCAGGAAGATAGAGCAAAGGGCAATGGGTGCCCACGCAACAGCTTTGCTGCAGGGACCTTGACCACATGGTGCCCAAGAACGGTCAGCGGGGAGCCCTGAGCACAGGGCCTGGAGTGCCCCCCGCCAAGCACCCACCAGGTGTGGCCAACAAATGAAACAAAAGCAAAAGTACCTTCAAGCCCCTGCTGAAGAGGCACTGGGTCCCCGCCCCCGGGGCTGGCAGGACCCTCCGCAGCCCCTCAGCCTCTCAGGGGCTCTGGGTGTTGAGGAAAGGGCCCAGCGTGCGTACTGCCATGAACCTCTCCCCGTCCTTCTTCTGCTCCTCAGGGGTGCAGAGGAGTCTCCCCTAAACTCTGCCAGCCCCCTTACCCCTCTCCTGGGACTGAGGCACATTTTCTTTGCTGGCACACTGATACACTCCAAGCTTCTGGGGGTTTTTCCTGGAGCATCCTTCCCTGGATGGGGGTCTAGAGCCCAGCCGCAAGGTAAGGAGCTACAGAGATGCTGGAGAGCCCCGGGCAAGTGGTAGAGCTCCAGACTGAGACTCCGAGCCAACGTCCCCGCCGGCTGCTCCCCCTGGCCTCAGAAACACGGGGCTGTCCTCAGATGTATGTCCTGGGCCCAAATTCCACATCAGCAGTCGCTGGGAAAGTCCATTTTGTGAACTTTAATCCCATTTTGGGGATTAAACTGCTCCACC